GCCTTCTGACCATGCTAATGGTCCTCCAGTCATTTTGTACGTTAATTACAAATCTTTCTCCTAAGTGGAATGACTTTTTACGACTTCAGAGAAGACTCTGGGTACTGCACAACCACCACTCTTGAGCGTTTAAATTTCGCGTTGTACCTTCCATCTTTAATTTCGTCACACCCTTATTTTGTGGGCGATTAACCCTTCGAAGGAGTTGAGTCAGTCATTTTGCGGAGGTTGTTTCCACTTGAAAATTGGAATCTGTTTGCATAAAATTCGTAAAACCCAATAGCATCACAGTTGTTTTGCGAATTTTTTAAAGCTTGGGATGCTTTCACACAAGTCGTTCAAGTTTATTTGGTAATTAAAATGGTCAATTAAACTTATTAATATCATAATCAGAAGGAAGTACAGTAGAGAGCCATACGTGTTTTTTTCTTTTTAAAGATGTAATCATTTCATGTGTAAGTCCGCAATACTTTAATTGTTAGTTAAACTCTCGAATTTAATAACCGGCCGCTTAGGGCTCCGCCACTGTACTCTCACCGAGCGGCCTGTCCTCCGGGTCATAGCAGTAGCCTCAAGGCCTTCTGTAGCTCGACAATACCCATTCGGACTGAGCATTATGTCGTATGTTATCCTCAGCGAAGTCTCAGGGCACTACAAAAGCACTGTTTTACGGAAATGCTTTGTAGTACTTCATAATTTTACCAACTGTTACCTTTATAAGAACTTATACTCTTTATTAAGCCCCAGTTTAATCACCAATCTCAAATGATTCAAGAGGGCACAATTATCTCTCGGTGGTCAGTTAAAATGAAGGGATTTTTGCAACAAGTGCATCGGAAAATGCAGCAATTATCGCCTGCGTTATTGTTCCAGAAAAGAGAGATTAGAACCATGCCAATATCTACGATAGATTTCACTTTTGCAAAGACATTTAACTCATGGGGCATGAAATCGGGATTGTGAAGAACGGACCTGGTCAAGTGTCAATTCCACGGTTCATAGCTTTCCAGATCTCTTATATACCATGATTTAGTATTTCAAAAAATGTTACCTGATAAATTACCAAAATTAAAAATTTTCATCGAAGCATTATGGATGCCTACCATTCCAGTTATCCAGAAGGAGGAAGCAGATTATGTGATACAGGATTTCTATTTGAAAATTCTTATGAATGAAAAATTCGTACAGCACTATATTATATTTATGAATGAAGGACAAAATAGATCACAATTTAAGAGGAAATAATGCACACCACGGTCAAATATACACACATACAATAGACGAATTGCTTCATAAATAGGAGAGAATTCATAGGTGGTTATGAGACACTCTAGGTCTTCACTAAAGCCAGAAGAGTCCAGAATATTGTGAAAGAATATACATTACTAAAGCACAGGAGATCTGGAAGGCCTTTGGGATTGGCCAAAGGGCTTATTGCAGACCGGAAGTACAACCAATGAGCCTCATGTGGTTATAGGTAAGGGTACACAAAATATCAAATCACTGCATAGCCCTCTTCTTTCGAGGGTGGTCTTCAGGGCCCCCTGTCTCGCATTCAATCATTTGCATCGGCCAGTAAAATGCAGTCGTCAGCCATTAAATTTCTTAGTGTGCTAGAAGGCATTTGAACTCAGCACATTTAATATATTTCGGCGATATTCATTGCATCTTGAGTTTTGTCGTGGATGTGAATTGTGTAAGGGAAGGAAGAATGGAGGGTTTCGTACCTTTAAAAACTGGACAATGGTATACAACGAGACATTTCCTCTTAAACTGACTTCTCACAAAAATGCTGGCTTAAAAGCAAAGGCATCAAACAAAGGGCACCCACATCTACTCCTATTTGCCCCATTTATTGGCATTGTGTTTCTTCTTAGCCAATTACCAGCTAGTAGGAATTTGGAGGACGAGATGTGTTTACGTAATTACTGTCGTTACATAGATATCCTATACTCAGCCACCCTTGGCAAATGTTCTCCTTCCACGACGTTGAGGTATGGTACCCGGCCGCAGAAGTTCGCGTGCTACTACCGCCAATGTGAAAATGTGAGGCTTCTCTGAGGTCGTAACAAGTCCAAGTACTGGAGAAAAGCATATAAACCAGGTGTATGGACTAACCAGGTGGTCATTAGCATGGTTTGTGGTCCAAGCCGCAGAGTAAAAACAACTTGTGGGGGTTGGTGAGCCCGCGCAGTCAACCAAGGAGTTAAGAAATACCAAATTACCAAAACTCATTGCTGAGACAGCTATGGGCCTGCAGTCATCATTCATCAAATTCGTGATAAATTGCAAACATCATCGGTTAGCCAAAAACAATACTTTGCTAAACAGTTTGCACCCACAATTAGACCGTTTTTCCAGCTGATTCGGCAAATGGCATGTTTGTCTTTGCACGCATAAAAATCAAAAGCCCTTAGAATAAAATTAGTTTTCACCGAATTTACTACTTGAATTGACAGAAAGTTGCTGTTTGACCCAAAAAATAGAGCCAATGAACTGTGTTTAAGCTACCTATTTTGCAACACACATGGGTCACAAGATGTTGTGTGTGCTTCTGGTCGTACTTGGTGTTTCGGCTGGGGTCATCACAGCTGTAAGTCACCTCGCGTGTATTACTATAAGTCAATACTAAATTTAATAATTTGAAACTTTCCTTGTGCTGCTAAGATGAAGTAACGGAATTTAGTTGGCTAGAACTTCGCAACTCGACTACCTAATTTTTGTTTAATAAATATGCCCCCCGATCTTACCTTATACTTACTGTTCTGCCAGAAAATCAGCAAATTTCAGTGCTTCTTTTTCTTTGCTTGAAAACCCTACTGCAGCAGCAATGATAGGGGAGCTGTTGTACTCTGACAGTGCCCTGTCAGAGGTCAAAATTCAGTCTATTTGAAGCTCTCCTATATCATACCAGAGACAAGCTTTGTGTCGCAAATGTGGTTGGCCAATACGCGGGTGGGTCACGACTTGCTTTCTCCAGTAGGCATGCTTGGATAGTCCATAGTCGAGAGCGTCTCTGCCTACCACGATTGAAGACACATCCCATCCACCTGCGTGGTTGTTTTGTCTCATCCGCACTATAGGACAGTCTACGTGTGCCTGGTGCATACTATGGTATTTTGACGAACACCCCAGTGCTCTCTCTTGGAGGGCTGTGTCGAGGGAAAAACGCCTGATGAGGTTTTGTAGCATTGGGTGCCGGCTTGGATGGGCTAAGCAAGGATGTTTCCTGTTGTGAGGAGTGAACGATGTCTGTGCGGGAAAAGTAGGAGGAATTCTGAGTGAGTTGGTGAGGGGGTACCTATCAGACACTGTCACGGCATCGGGTGCGCAATAATCTCCGCGACATCTCTAGTAGCTGAGGTTTGTTTTGAGTAACCTGCGGTGGAACGAGAGTTATTAGCTGCTGGAAGATTGAATAATGCTTAAGTTCAAAACATTTTGATTTGGCTACTTTTGGTTTCCCGGAGGGAGGTATATTTTTTTTGAAAAAGTGGGGTAAAAAGAGGAGATGATATGATGTTCAGTATCTTATTACGGGCGTCACGGAGAGGATCGGTTTTGCGATGCTGGGGGGGCTGAGAACACACTACTGGAGGGTAAAACCAGTTGCATTGATTGTATTGCATTTCTCTAGATCGCGACTGTGGTAGCAACACCAAGGGTTTTTTCAAGGGCATTCGGCGACATCCAGTTGTATGAGGAAGCGAACACAAATAATCAAATACTGGACGTCAACAACTGTGAAGACAAAGTGGAACTGTCGTAGCGCACGGATGTGTTGTTTGGTGATTTCAATCTGCTACTGGTGTCACAAGCACAGAAGTAGCAGCTGGGACTGTGGCCAGTGGCAGCTGCCCCCACTACTGACTGGTTTGTTGGTCTTTCTAGGCGCCTACCTAAGCGAGGTCAGGAACACGATCTCGCTCGCATAGGTGTGTTTACTTGTAGTCACAGTGCACAGACCCTCTCCTGTAGGTCTTTCATGGCGGTGAACTATGAAAGCGGTTTAGAAGTAGGTGACGGGATTTGATGTACTGCATGGGTGAAGAAGTACTTGGGCACCCCGTCGGTCTATTGCATCAGCTTTTCCAGTGATGGGTGCGAGAGTTGAACGAGATGGCAGCCCCACTGCTAGGAGGTGGGCCATGGTTGTTTGAGGGGATCCTCAGTTTTTATTGACCCTACCCCGGATTACATGTCCCTCAGTAACAGATTGGGTCGGATCGCTGGGTTTGACCGATGAGTTGCCGTAGCTACGTTTCTTCCGTCATTTTCGTCCACTTCGGTACTACTGCCTTAGGAGTGGGATATGACTTCTGTCATCATTAAATCAGAGATATCAATCACCTCATTTGCCGCCTCTGTGGGTATTTGTGCATCCACATGGTGGCTTGAGGTAATTCGGCTGCAGCGGAAGTAAGTCTTGATCTGGAAGAACCATGCTCGAGACTGGGACAGACTGAAGGTCTGTGTTATTTTTCCATAGCCTGGAACGTCTGGACTGTCCAGCAGGTTTGAAGACACGTCCAAAGTGTATATTTAGTCGTGTTGTCTCATCCGCACGTTCGATATCCGGCGGTGGGCCGAAGATTTGCCTTTTTCATCCCAATTTATTTTTAACCATTAGCCGATCTTATGCCACCATAGTCATGTTATTTTTTATTATTATTTTGTCCAGAAGTCCTTTGTTCCCACAACGATACGGCTGAATGATACCAGCACCAACACTTCATTTTACCTTTGCGCATATAGCTACGGGGGATCTGCGTCTCGATCTTGGTTCCCATCAGTATGTTATTTGCCTAGTAAATTGGTTATTGTCTGCATATATTTTGTACTTTTTACTTCATTTTTTGTTAAGTCGATTGTCATCGATGTGCGTGACTTGTTGGAAAAAAATGTGACCACGACAAGCATGAGCATTAGAGTCCAAAATAGAATAACTTATGTGAGAGAGAATTTCCCTATGGCGGTAAGGACTACTGAAGATTTCTCACTACTCATGCTGGAGGATCGAACAGGCGTGTACAAGCTCTCCAATGTGGTAAATATCAGCGTTATCCTGGCCGTTACGGAGAAACTCGCCATTGAGGTGGTCAAACCCAATTTGTATTTGGAGGATCGCGTTTACTTCGTGCCAAGTGACGCCTTCAAGAATCTTCTCAACAAAGTAGGTTCGCGTTTCCTAAGGTGTATCAAACTACGGACAAATTTTTTGTCTATGTTATACCTCTAAAATATTATGATCCTAAACATTCTGTAAAAGCTTACCTTCCGGTCATCTACCTATTGTCATGCGATCTCTTGGAATTTCCTTGTCATCCACTTAATTTAGTCCCACCACAATTGCTACTCACGAAATAACTTATTGTCGCAGATCTTGATTTTTGTATTTTATTAACGATAGCCTGCATTTCCAGCGTGACTTTTTTAAACTTTGCTTTCCGTCAGCTGAACTCCGAATCTTCTTCAGGGCTGGTGTTGGACTTCACTGAGGCCTCCCCGACCGGGGTAGGCTATGGAATTTTAGCCTTCGTTGTCCTTAAAATTCTGAGTCTCACTAGCATCACCATCGCTGGGCTAATTGACCTTAGAAACCATGAAAAGCTGTAAGTTACTCTTCTTGCCGACTTTGTGTATATGTGAACAGTAAAGCAAATTTGGAATTCTGAGGTCATTAAAGATTTTAAAGGCTCTTAATGTGGTTCCAGGAGGTTTGTCTTAAATCACGGTCTTAGCTATCTTTATCCTAATTAAGATTATTTCTACGTTATTTTCGTTTCTCCCTGGCAAAATTCCTTACTGACCAGGCTGAGACACGCGCTCTCTGCCGATGCGCAGGGATGTTGGCGTGAATAATGCGACCGCACTCTGACCAAATAACAATAGCCTTGTTCTATTCCGGCCCACTTTAAATGGGTGGCTCTAGTAAACGAAGACATAATTTATTACACTTTTAGCATCTCGTTGGTGCATAGGATGCGTCCTGATAAGTCAGTTCATCCGTTTCTGAAAATTGCTATTCCGACTCTCCTCATACTTTCCAGCGTTTCGGTCGTTCTTTTGGCCTATTTCTTCTACGACATAATGGGTGAGTTTGATTTCTCTGTGGTCCTTGAGTTATCCATAAAGACTTTATTAGACACATGTCTATAGGCGGATTTGTTTCGCGTTCAGAGGAGGATTGGGAGCCTTAAACAAATTCATAATGAATCGCCGGAGTCTTAAAATACTTACTTGGAAATTAATTGCTATACACCTCCGTCTCTTTTGGAACAGCATTCCTATTTTCTGTATCCATAGACTGGCTGACAGCAGCATAACCACTGTACCCATTCTGCCGTTCTGTTATATTCAATGAGACCTTATCATTGGCCTCTTCCTTAATCTAATACCTTTTCCTAATTTTCTTCAAAATAGTGTACTTTTTCATCTTCGTCTTTATCTTTGCTGGCGCCTCTGCCATGTCCTCCGTTACCACTACTCTCCTCTTCATGAAAGTACCGGCCCTGTAAGTTCCTCCTCTTGATTCTCGACAACTAAAGAATATCCAGTATCTTATTACTTGCCAAATTAGAGAGATTACCTATGGGCTCAACCTCCTTATGTTGCCTTTACCCTGAGCTGAAGGTTTTCGCATTGATGTGAGAAATGGGCTTGGTGGTCACGGGTGTAATATGGGCATTTCCTAATATTTCTTTCAAGGGATTTATTGGGCAACAATAATTAGGCTAATACAAACTAAACTAACGAAGATTTCTGCTGTAAGTGTCGACATTAATATTTTGAAAAGTGCTAATAAAACCAGTATTATTTCTACTATCCTGTACTTGAAATGCCAAAAAGGAACTGGACGAATCTGTGCCATGCATTTGAAGAGACCTCTTCTCCATACTATCTGACCATAGGACCATCATCACCTTGGTTTCTTTTATAGAAAGCGCCTTAAATTTAGAGCACACAAGTTTGATGTATCTTTTGTCCGCTGTGTCCTCTTCTTCATGTTCCTCGCATTCACTATCACATGGTGTGTGTATCGAAAACATCCTTCGTAAGTTTATCCTTATACTCATTTTTTATCCTTTGATTTGCATTTCCTTTGTGCTGGGTCATTTAGTATGATGATATCTTTTATTTCCTTAAGCCTACATTAATTTGTTGGTACCTCTTTCAAATAATTTTCAAAATTATCCTCTTACCAAATCTTTGTCAGTGGCATATATTGTAAGCATTCATATTTTGCATTATTCAATTAAAAGGAGATATTTTGTGTATTCTTCATATCATGCACTTTAATTTATCCCCGTGTAACAATAACATTACTTCCTCTGCCTAGTGTGGGATGGATCATGCAGGACATAATTGGTGTTTTTCTGGTCATCCAAATTCTCTCCGACATTTCCATCCTACTCTCTTTCAAGGTAGGTCTTATTACTTCAATGTCCTTTTAGCTTTCAGCGCCTCAATTTCATTTATTTACTTTTTTAAAAAATTGCTTCAGGCTATCTGTATCGGCTTCGCTGTCTTCGTGCTATACGATGTCTTCTTCGTCTTCATAACTCCCTTTCTTGTTCGCGTATGTTTTTTTGCATTGCAATGGGCTTTTTATAGCATTTGTTTATCGTATAAAAATCCCTCTTCGGGACTCCACCAGTGATCAGTACGGCTTGTCTCCTTTTTCAGAGACATAAATATACCTTTTTTGGTTTCTTTCCATGAGAATAACACTTGACTAGTCTTTGATGCTCTTTTTTTGATTCTATGGCCCTTTTAATAGACTTCGTGCTCGAGTATGCATATGGCATCAATTGTGAGGGTGTACACTTGCTGCTTTCGTCATCATTTAAGGTACTCTATGATCAAAATCGTCGCATCTTGCTTGTTTATTCTTTAACACTGTAAGGTTTTTTTGGTATGTAATGGTTTATTAGAAAAGGCAACTGTTCTAATTTTTAAGTGAACATTGTCGATTACCTACGCATTTATGAAACTTTCACTTCTCCTATTTTTGCTGTTGAAATTATTCAAGGCACTATTAGACGTACTCATTGGTACACAGTTGTTACTCTAATGGATTCCATAACAAACAGGACTGTGAAGAGTTCATGCAAGTTCTGCTTTATTTTATCACCACCACCACCAACAGGTTCAGTTCAATCGTCCTGGATGACCCACCCTTTAGATTAAAAGTTGTCGAAACGGGACTTTTCAGCGTGTTTTGTGTGCCTGTTGACAGTCTATGCCTCGAGGTCTCCACACTTTTGCGTTGCTTTTAAAACAGTTCTCATCCTTTAAAAGCAATATCCCTTTTTTGGTCCAAAAACCCCCTTATTAGAGATTACAAACCCGAAGATAATCATGACCATGTCGAATATGCATAGGATATTCCGTATTTAATGCTTAAGGTGTTAAAGTAAGGCACCTCTTGAGTAGGCATACTTTTATTCATTGAACATTGAACTTCAAGCTCAAACATTTCAGAAGAGGTCGTGTAGGCGTGTGAATGTGACCGATTAGCCTTTTGGTATCAAAGTAGTCTGCAAAAGGGGACTGGAAGGCTGGTTTTTTGGAGCTGGACCCATTCGGCACGGAAGCCGTGTTATGTCTGTTAAAATATTTTAAACCGTAGTCGCGTGCCATGATTGACACCCTACTCGGGGCTTAAATTATTGGCGCACCGGTGCGTAGGTTCAATGGCTTGATTTTTTACTCAAAGCAGTAATCACTTTCCTTTCCACGCGTTATGCGGCACATTTAACGTCACGATTAAAGTCATCCGCTATTACTCTATTTCTCCACAAACTATGGCCTTGTGTTTTGTGTGCGTTGAATAGTAGTCCCACCACCACACTTCAGACACTTCTATGCCGTCTCGAGGTGTTCCGTTGCTTCTGCAAAGGCATTTGCGTCCGGAGCCAGCGACGTAGATTTTAGGTCTACACAAACTACTCTTTTATCTGCCATGATTCAGAGAATAATCCCCAACACTACTTACGTCCTTATTAGGCCCCTTATTTACTCTAACAGTTGACATTTTTGGAACCGACTACTTTGTGATTACTTGAGAAAACTTATCTGTATTCTAAACCACATATAGCTCTGAATAAAAAAGATAATTTTATCTCTCGAAAGCATGAGTTTAGCCAATGGCAATGGTAATCTGAACATGTGAACGGATGAGATTTTCACCTTGCTCTTTTTAATTACCACAAGGTATTATTAATTTAAGAAGCCAAAAGTGCAGAGCTATGCACATCGGTTATGGAGTGTGCCTGTATGCAATTGAAGTTGACTACAATGGAGACAGGTGTGCTATTTGCGTTTACACTGTTTTTAAATAGGACGGTTGAAGTAGATGTATGGGTTTGGTGGACTTGTCTTTTAGTATCAAAAGGACTGATACGCAAGACCTGCTCTAGAAGGATGTGTTTGTAATTATATTTATAGTCTTTGAAAATGACAGAGGTGGGGGCGTTAGGAACAAAACTAGCGGCGCCTTCAGGGATCTTCAATACGCAAGAGGTGTTGTCGCGTGGGCGTCGAAACATCGCGGCGCCTGGTGACAGCATTATGGAAGCCGTAGCTACGGGCTCTGCGGGTTCCTCTGGTGAGCTGATGCCCTTAGTCTTCAAGGTTTCCATCACTGCCATTACCGGTCGGCCAGGTGTGTGTCAGGGCGGTCTCGATCATGTACTCCTCGGCTTCGGCGATGCTGTACTTCCAGGTGGGTCCACTTTTCCTTTATTTCCACTTTAACTATACAATATGAGGTAGATGGAGGGTGCCGAGGTTGATTGGATGGAAAGTGGGACTTGGTCTATATTGATAACCTGTTTTTTTCACTATTTGCTGTGTATTTTTCGTAAGTTTTCATTCTCCTAATTTCTTGTCCTGTTTTCCACATAGATGAGTGGCTTTAGAGAGGTTAATTTAATACGTAGACGAATAGCTGATCGTTTGAATTAATTGTTTTTGCTAGAACTTTCAAGCATTTCATCTTTTTGAACTACATTCTTGGCTGACATTTTAGCGACTGCATGTTGGTATTTGAGCGACCGCTTTTCTTTTCTGCTTACCTTTTTGAGTAGATGAATTGCAAAAATGTGTTTAAATTTGTCTGATAACTAATCTTGCTTACATGTCTAATAATAGCATCAAATCTGTAATGAAATAGAATACCCCAGCAATCGGCGCATCTCTCATATTCCCTATGTAAGAAACCTTTTTTGGAGGATGCTGAACGCCGTGAACCGCGTAATTTTTCACATCAATTTATAGCTTGTTCACCGATTACATGTGTATATTAACCTCCGGACCTTATTAGGAAGTCTCGGTTTTGCCAAAGCCTCTGTTTTGATTCCTTTTTTTTCTCGCCAAAACTACCACGCACGATGCGAAATTTGGTGATGCTTAAACTCAACAGCCCTAAAATGCACATGCTTTTGCTTCAGGTCGAGTGCTTGGCAGCCGTATTCTTGATTTGGGTGTAACGTCTACCATTGTCACTTCTTTCAGGTGCTCTCTGTGTGTTCCTCGCCTTCTATGATGCTTGTTGGAAGCGGCGAGTCCCGTGGAACTTCTTGTCTTCGCTCCTAGGTAGACTATCGTCATCATCCACCCGATTCGTTTAATATTGTTTTCCTAATAATTGGATTGGTTTTTTGCATTGTATTTGTTTACAAATGGTTGGGCTGCTTTAAATAAACTGGGTTACTGGTTGAATTCATGCACTTTAACTGGAAGTATTTCACCCTATTCTACACAGTAGCGTCCGTTTCATATAAGTTCTTTCTATTTGCGTTTCTACACACTGCACTCATGATTTCCATCGCAAATAGCCTCAAATTTTGTGAAAATACCGTTTTCTCCTTTATCAAATAGCAGTGTGATTTTTTGTAGCCTTTCCTCAATACCCTTTTTTTCATTACTGTTCATTAATGCCTATTATTGAAGCCATCGACCAATATTATCTGTGCTGTGTTTTAAAAGTCAGATACTTCATACGTAATGATTCCGTGCCTAATCTTAAAAGCACCTCTCTCCTACTGTCTGCACAGCTCTATCAATTTGGCTAAACGACTGATTGGCTAGGTGGCTGATTGGTGGCCCTTGTCCTTCCTGCAGGCTACATCCTGGGCGGAGTGGTTGTCTCACTGGTTCTCTTTATCACAAAGATGGCGCAGCCTGCACTGCTCTACCTCTGTCCATTCACCTTGGCGGTTACCGTTGTAAGCGCTTACATGCGAGGCGGCGTCGTGGAATTGCACAACCTCTGGACCACCAATCTACCCGCTCCGTTACACGCCCTCAACGCCTCAGGGGAACAGTTAGGCGCCTCAAACAGCGTTGATGGACCCCTGGTCTTACCATCTGTAGTGAAAATTGATGGTAAGGGCGAGGGTGTCTTCCACCTTGATCAGTACCAGAATGCATAGGTGTAATAGTACCCTCCTTTTCAGTCTGGCATTGATCTCGATCTTTCTGATTGTGACCAAGATTTTTTTGAGTGGATTATACAGTCATCCGATGGCGTGAATCTACAGGATGTGCAATTTTCATACATTATTTTAGCTTCAGTAAAAAAATCTGTATATCAACTCATGGGTGTAACAAGCTACGCTCGAGTAAGCGCACAGAATGGGGTCGTGATCAATGGTGTTTTATTCATAGTGAGTGTTATTCGAGGAGCTGCGCAAGAAGGCCCTTTCACACGTTCATTAGACTTGCTCTGGATCACGACCTGTTTGCCGTGTAGGTGGTAGGGATTGTGAAACCTATCTGCTTGTTACGGTTGGTAAAGGTGGAGGTGGCGTTTTCTACTTCTCTACTGAAGTGTCATTCTTCGGTGCCTCGGTTTTAGTCAATCTTGATACCCGTTTTGGTGTGCCAGTTAGGGACAGCGACGTTTGCCGCTATGGTGGCTAAACCAGCGTCTGAAGCAGAGCACCTGGCCAGGAAGCGAATTTCGGCGAAAGTGTTGTAACACCCCAAGTCATTCTGAAGTCGTAGGAAGTCACAATAATGTGGCAGGGAATTCATTACTGTCATTTAGGAGGCTGAAGGCTATTGGCGCGGTGTACAGCGTTTTGACTATCCGAGTAATGTAACGCCTAGCTAAACTCACAGTTAAAGCTGTGGAGCAGAATGCCCTTTAAATACAATGGTGAAAATATTCTGATAGCATGTAAAAATATCAAGCCGAGAAATTTTTAGGAAAAACAGGCGCATGCTTCTAAGCATGCAGTAAGCCATATCGCGCTTAAGAAATAGCGGCTTTAGAACCTATTCAGCTGCAGACTGTTGTGTAATACGATAGTAGTTTATCCCTCCGTATTGATGAGGCGCCACTTTTGTACTTCGAATTAGCCTTCTTGTACCTCGCTGGGTGGGCTGGCCTTTCGAGTCATGCCAATAGCCCAGACACCTCTGCGCTGAATATATATTCTGCCCGAGTATTTTGTCTTCTTTCGTCTTCAGGGAGTCCTGGGGCGCCACAGTTGCGCTTAAGAAGCAATCAAGTACAATTTTGATTTATGTCAGAAATCTGCAGCATCCTTTAACGGCTTTCTTACACAATTCCTATTTGGGGAAATTGCAACTATTAATATTCCTCAGTTTACTTTAGGAAATTTGGTGACTTACTCGTGCAATCAACTACTTCTAGTAATCATAGAATCATCATATATTACCCTAAATATATACCGGTGTTATGTATAAACCCATAAGTGCGAAAAATAAGTTTTTGTAGTTGGACCAAATGTGGTATTTGTTGTAAAATTCCAAATGTAAAACAAAAGCAACGGCATATCTTAAAAATAGGAGTTATTCCACCATTTCTCTGCTAGGAATTCATAGTACAATGCGGTTCTAATCAATTCTTGGTAGCTGCTTTTTAAGGCCATATTTGTTTGGATGTTTAATATTGCGCGGAAGCTTATACACGGTCTGTAACAGATGATAGGCAGAATGTCCCTTTCATCCTAAAATGCCTACCTTGTGTCCTTTTAACAAGATTGACCCATTCAAAGAGTTGATTGAGATACGAAAGGGGAGAAAATTGTTTGTTAATGTGTCAGTGCCTGCTCTTCCAGGTATTATTGCACGACATATTATACTCTTCGTAGATATAGGCACCCTTTTTTTTATTCATGGTGTTGGAGAAAGTGAGCGCATATGGAACTATCAAGTAAACTACTTTTTGTTAAAGGTACTTTCAACCCTTGATTCGCAAAAATACAAGATTTTTTCTCACATTATATTCTTTGATCATGAGCCCATTTGTTGATTTCGCCTGCTGCAACCATGCTTTTAACATTTTTCTGTATATCAATATAGGTTTTGGCTATTACACGTGAACCTTGGCAGGAAGCTTGCGCCTAAATATGTTTGCACTAGCTTGAGCCTTTTTACTTCATGGTGTGTCATTTTTGAATAGTTTCCAGTACTTCTATAGTATTGTATAATTTTTAATGTTTTTTAAATTTAAAATCAATGTACAGATTATAAATGTTATTGTTGACCTGTTTACTAAGTTTTTGTCAGAAAATTCGTTCTTTGATTTACCTTTGGATATTTAGTTAATTGATAGCGTTTTTACTTGCATTTGGGTGTAAATCACAAGTATTTGGTAGACTAGCACTATTTTTGGAGTATTCAAAATGTTAAATGTTAAATTTAGATTTTGTAAATTTCTAACTCCTCGTATTCAGTTTCTTAATCATTTTGTATTCAGTTTCTGGTGCATTAATTTTAGGACAAATTCGATACCTAGCATGGATGTAGTTTTTTCACGTTGGGCACGCCAAAAAATCTAAGTCTTACATTTTTCTAAATATCTGTCTCAGTTCAGTTGCAACAGAAAATATCAACTATTTTAGCAAACAGACTAACTAAACATTACACCCTTATTCCTAAATTTTCCCTAAAAAGCATCTCTTAGTCAAACTAAGAATGCATTCACCTACTTTACAAGTGAATTAAGAGTAGTGTAATCGACTATCTTAATTTAGCGTTATTTCAAAACAGTTTTTATTTTATCCGTTTTCAGCGTGCACATTGAGGCATTGTTAATTTGACTCTATTTCACCCACATAACATTTTCAGCTCCGTTTTTCATAGGGTTATCGAACGGTGACGATTGATTTAGTAGGACATGGTGCTAGCCCAATAGATGCAAACCATGATCTCATTTGCTGCGCCGATCAAAAATGGCCCATTTTCTCGACTTCCAAATCTCTTGGTATTTGTTTGCGGTGTCCCAGCACGAAAGGACTGGAGGCCTTTTGTACATTTGACGAGCACTTCAAAGACGTCAAAGAGGTATTTGATAAATACGTCGTCAAGTACTATGCAATCAAGGATTCCTCAGATAACGAGGAACCCAAAGAACAAAAACCACCTATTGTTACTGTAGTGGCCCATTCTTATGGGTAGGTCGAAATCGACTTTTTTCGTAGAAGCATCGGTAAAAAGTCATGTCTTTAGTTACTTTTATTTCAAAGTTATTGTGTATAAAAATGAGCACAACATTTGGGTACCTCAAGTGTTGTTATTTACACAAGTTTTTGTGCCCCTTTCACCTAGTGAGACCTTATATTACACCACAATAAGACCTAATTTAGAATATGTGCCTAATACTCATATAAATGGTTGCATTTTTTATATTAATGGGACTATTTTGGCTAAAGGCCTCATCGCTTTCGTCTGAAACCACATTTAAATGTAAATTATCATAATTTAATGCATTTTTGGCGTCTGAACTCGCTTCAGCCTCAAATGGGATCGTACCTTGTCGATAGCAAGGAGCAGTTTCATTTGAACCAAACGTACCTGCAAATTATGCCTTATTTTGGCGTTATAAATCTTAGATGCGCATACTGATAAGGCGTACTGTTTGGTGCTTTAGGACCAGGGCTATCTGGTAGGTCTTGCATACTCGCTCAGTCACTTACTCATTCAGGTTTGTGTAGGATGAATAAGCGGAATGTGCAGGTGTCATGTGAGTGTGATCTTCGCCATTGCGGTGATCAAAATCTACCCCGAGGAAGTATTTATTCCATCTGCAAAGCCTAGCAACAATTCAACGCCCCTTTTTACATTCCATTTGCGAGGAATTACTCTCCTCTAGTTGATTCTAGTGGCTTCTAGGTCGCTTTTAAAAAATGGTTTTCTTTTGAATTCTCCATTCACTTCGCGATTTACCCTAAATTTGTACGCATTGGGAACTAAGTGATGCTAGGCAGAAGGTTCGTAAACTTTATAAGGAACTTTGTTATGTGTAAACATTCCCAACTGGTGTGTTCTTCGAATGTTACAATCCGCATTGAGTTTTCCTACCAAAATGCTAGTGATATCCTTTTCAGGTAATAATTATGTATTTGTTAAGGAATTACTAAATGTCAATGCCTCTAATACAATGGCATCACATAAATGATAAAGCTAATCTCCACCCCCCTCCAAGGAGATCTATGCTTACCGAAATCATATAGAACTAAAATGATGTGCTCATCCTTTTTATGAGATGGCGCTGTGAGTATTTCAATCACTTAAGTGAATGTCGCAGAGTGATTATAGGCGAGTTTTCCCTCAAATGGTGTTTCTCATCTCCACACGCACACACGCGCTCAGGTTATCAAGTCTTCACAAAATACTGCCATCCAATTTATTGTACATAACGAAATCGCAGAGCAGACGTATTCGAGGTTACTAATGAAGGGACAAACAAAGCTCATTCATTAAGTCCGCACGTATTTTAAATCCAGATGTCATTTCACAACACAATAATTCGATCATCTCTTAAGCATAGTGACAGGGTCGTAGAGAAATCCAAAATGTTTTATTACTAATTTTATCCCGATATTCTTCATCTTTTCGGCTCTTAGTACATGAAAAATAATGCAATAATTTAGTATCAAATAGTTATATAATTTCCCTTACGTTTTGACATTAAATGTAATCGGTTTTCTCTTGATGTCCACTCAGTGAACATATGTAACGAAACCCATTCAGCTTCCCAGATTCTTTACCTTCAAAGTGGTTTAAAGCGGTCAAGGATTGTTGAGGGAGTAATGCTGTGTTTTGCCACTGCTTATAGCTCATCATTATTTATCGTTCCGCTCTCCGCTTGTGATTCTCACATGGCTCTTTTGTGATCGTAAGCAGAACTATCAGAACTGAGCCTTTCAATCACTGTATTGCCTTTTTTGTATGCTTAATTTCCACCGCAACGTGTTCAATCGTCGATCTGTTTATGGTGATGCACCTTGCTTTTAAAGCTAGTATTTGGGCAGTTTTACGACCTCTCTGAAATCTTACTTACTAATCGTTAAACGATGTTGGAATTGTGAGCGGTTTTGGAGCATCTTTTTTAATTGATGTTCAGCAAGCAGTAATGTTGAATCCGTTAATTTACGCGGTACTTTCTGCTGCTCAAAATTGTCATTTTGATTTCACCTAAAAGCGCATAAACAAGTGTGATTGTTAACTAATGTAGCTTGGGCTGTATTTTTGTATGGATGTGGGTACAAAAGCGCCTATTCAACTTACATACGACCCAAAGTGTTAGATGTCTTAGTTGAGATTCGCTTTACAATCACTACTTTCGAGCGTGATGGTGTTTCCAAGTTGAGAGTTTCTTTGTTGCTATCACTTTCACAAGAACAATAATGAGCCACTCGAAGAGAATTCCTCGACATTCGACACCAGAATGATTTAACTGTCCTTTCCAAATGTCTGCTTGCACAAGAATCAGTTAGCCACAAAAATATGTATATGCACATTAAATATGGTCATACGATGGCACGTTGGGGGACACTTAATATTGCATTCTTGAGAAAGCGGAGCTAATGTCCTGAAGGGTAATGCATTCTTATTATTACCATATGTGATCTCTAAGTGCACAAATGTAGCACCCCGGGCCTTTCCTGAAGTTATAACAAACTAAGGTAGCACGAAAGAACATGTAACACTAATGCACAGAAGAGCTGGAGGTCTGTTAGTAAGGCACGAATACCATGCCACAGAGCAGAAGTAAAACCTGCGGTGCCTGAACTGCTCCCGTAGCTAAACGCTTGGTTAAAAAAATGTCAAATCACTACACCTATTAATGGCAGGAAAAAGGTAGCTTTTACAAAAGGCATCAAATTACAAAAGACGCATAACGTAAATAATTTCCCCATTAAAGACACTGTAGCCAAAAATGTCTGTAAGCACTCTTGGTATTTTGGAAGAAGAATTATTTTAATGTTTTACTGAAATAGAATACCTGGGTTTATCTATCAATCCACATTGTAATGTTTTAAGCTAGTTCTTTGTGATGAAAGGCATTGAAAAGGAAATATGTGATGTGGACTTCGTGTTTCTTTAAAAAAAGTTAGTATTTTCCAAAGTTTTTAGCCGCTAATCCCACTTTTATTGAAATTCTTTTGTCTTTTGTGTGCCCACACACTCTTCCACGAGTTACTAGAGTTTATGCTATAATGTCTGAAGTAGCGCGCTTTAACTAAGCCCCGCAAATTTTAAGTGTTTTGTGTGAGCGGTCCCCACTAAAATTAATGGAAGGAAGGAAGCGCGTTTTGGCGCATTCATATGCTTCGCCTTCATGTTTTGTAACAGCTGGCCCACAAAATTATGAAATAGAAAACCACATACGGACTGATATCGTAGCTCGTGATTTATAGTTGAATTTGTAGACCTAAGCGGTACCTAAATTCCTTATGATCTGGGAAGAAATCGCAATCAATTGTTTGTATGTTTGGATTTCAACCTACACGGGTGCCGAGGCTTCTGCACTAAATGAATTCAATGATGTTAATCTTTTACTGCATTCCTTCTTCCCCTTTAAATAAGCGCAACAAATGGTCAATGAAATTCCTTATTTTATTTTAATGCAAGATTTGAACCTTGCTCTTGCTTCTCACAATCGTGCCAATTGGCTGGATCATCTGATTGTCTAATTTCGTAGTTGCCATTCTGTGTTCAGCACGGGAAATGTCGCTGATTTTGGGGTCACACTTACCCAGATGGTTTCACCTAATCACCGCTATAATTGTTCTTTTAGGATACAAAAATTGAAGTCATTTAAAAATTACTGCAGTCGGTTGTTAAACTTAAATCATGTTCCGCAGAGCTGCAATGTAAACGGTCTGGTCGCGTGGTTGGAACATTACAAACTGCTTCAAATGTTATGTCATCTTAATAGGTTCCCATCAACTTTATTCAAGCATGACTAGAAACTTGAACTCCAAAATGGAATGTTCTCAACTCATTTTCCGTTGTACTTTTTCACCGCAGAATGGAAAGTAAGCTAAGGTGTTCCAAAGGAATCACGAAGCACTGCTGACACTGATATCTCGTTATACTGATTTCTTTTACCATCTTTTGTGAATTTATGATGGTTAAAGTATATGGCCTTGGTAACAAGAGAGTTGTAATTCAGTCCTCCTAAAGGTATACCATTACAATCAACCTTTTGTACTTGAGTGGTAATGCCAAATTCCCATTTTATCTCCTTTTTTTCTAGAAATGTAGTTACATGGATAACAAATTGAATCGCAAAATTCTTGTGGCCTGTTATCGCGAATAATTTTCACTTCATTTTGTGGAGTTTTTTCAGTAAACTTTATGAGACCCGAAAAGGAGCAAGAAATTGATAGTCACAAATCATATTTACTGCTAGTAGTATTTGGGTTCAAATCATGGCCATTCCTCATTTGCGTAGTTTTGGATAACAAATAGAATAGTTGAGACTAATTTACTGCGAGTCCTCCCTACAAGGCTGATCATCATGGTTATTCATCCATATTGCAAATGCAAAGTCCAAGATCATGTGCCAATTGCTAGCGTGGAAAATCAGCTGGTTCTGGTAATGCCAACGATGCTTTGCTTCTCCAAGTACCTCGCTTGCGGTACGACTAGCGGAGAGTAGGAGCGAGGCGGTACAACGGCTGGTGCTCATTAGTGGAGGCGCGCCAATACCGTTGGAATATGAGTGCAGCATCTTTGGAATTAACCCCGCCTGTCTCTCCCTCCTCACACCCTGCATTCGACTCGGCTTTCAGAGGCAAGTGGGCATTCCTTGCACTGCTATTGTTCAAATGGATGGAAGGAAGTCGGTGTTATGGGCCACTTTCAAGTTACTTTTGAACTCTAGAAAATTCCACATCCGTCTTAGAACTTGGCTTTTAGTACCATATTTTCCTTTACGTTTGGTTTAATTGAGATACTTGCTATTTACTTGCGCCGCACGAGTTGATCTTGAATAGGCATGTTATCAACGTACAGGAGGACTACGAGCCTCGTATCATCAGCAGCATTAACAGACCTCAATATTTTAGGTCAACACTATGTGTAGTCAAAATAAATAATATATCGTAACATGCAAACTTAAAAAGTAACGACTAGAGGGAAGTAGTTATTCTCCATTTTAGGTGATATTGGTGCAACTATCATTTAACCATCTGTTGAGCTCTGGAATGCGATAACTCCAAGCTCAGTCTAGTCCTCTGGCCTTTGCAACTGAGTTGCATCCTCTCGGGGTTTTAATTGAAAGCTCCAAAATTTATCGCCATAATTAATATTTATCTCTAGTCCTTTTTAAGATCCGTTATGGTACTTTGTACCAAGATATTTACGAAAATTGCCAAGCCATTTGTGAAAAAGCAACACAATCTTTTGGCGATCTCCCGAAAATCACTACTCCTACAACATTTACCTCTAAAAATTTCGCTTAAAATAACTTATGCTCTTAAGATAAGGAAGTTCCTACGCCCAATAGCGAATTCGGTTGCCTTAGCAACCATTGGTGCCTTGTGTCTGGCTGCTTGTTTGCTACATTTGCCTTAATTATTGTTTGTTTGGTTCTTATGACTTTTCCTTGTGATTGTTGCTTCTTAAAGTATCACTAACACCTTCGCAGATTTTAGCTTCCGCTTGCTATGCCTGACTCAGTCACCACTTTGTGTTTCCTCTTAATCACATCAAAATATTAGGGGTAATTATAAAGACGGAAGCCGTTTTTTATAATACTACACCATCCTCAATGAGTAAGTTGGGACGCAGCAACCTGTTTTGCTTCCTAGCTTTGAAAATTATATCAATCTGATGTATCATGTGTACCTCGAAATCCCATTATTGTGAGGACTTAGTTTGAGAGGAAGTTGCGTAATGTATAAATATAAAGATTTTTTCGGATTGGCTAGGCTTACTGGTACGTAGGCATCATGAGCACGTGTTGCCAATAGTGTCGAATCGAGTTGGATTACAGTGTTTATCTGGGTAGCTGTCCGGTTCCGGTATTTGTCTGCTGCATATATTCTAAATTAATGACATTAGCTCTACCGATTAATGTGTTTTTGCGTAAATGCTAACCTATGAAAAGTAATAAAATGTAGGAGCATATTCGATCAGAGAGCTCAACGCTTTATAAACATTGTTTAATGGAAAAGGCCACACCATTAACAGTGTTACAGCTAGTGGTCATTAAGACAAGCATGAAAAATACACCTCTAGGCTGGCCTTTTCAAAGAGAAGTCCGTCGAGCAGTCCAAACCCTGAAGGCGGGCACCGCTCAATTGCAGCTTTTGAGGATCAAAAGGCAGCCTTTCAGTTCAACGCATATACCTTGTGGGCCACAATGGCCGGACAAAAGTGGCCAGAGGGTGATCGACACTTCTATTCCCGTCTTCGTGTTCCCGTCCTCCTCATTTGTGGCAGTCATGATCGATTGGTCTCCGAGGCGGAGGAAGAGGAGACCCTGTTTGTAGGTTGCATTTTACTCATTGTTCACCTTTCACATGTCAAGTTCCCTCTCATACTCTGGCCCGATCTTAAGAATCTATCCACGGCAAGAGGGCTTTTAATTTTAGCAACAACCCTGAATCTCGTGGATTGTATTGATGAGTTTATCATTATTGCGATACTTAGACTACGCTAAGAAAGAGGTCACAGGATCGGGCACTGTTCTAATGATAACATCCTTCGTATGACACTGCACGATTTTTTATACTCACCTGCGCTAAAGCATAGCTTTCCCAATTGGCAAATTCATCAGAATGCATTTAATCTTTTCTCGCTGTGGTACTGAACATGATGCGTACAACATACGAGGTGGACAATTATTGGGATTAAATTTTTCTCATATTTCGCTATAAGTCTCCATTTATTAAATCATCCATTATGGATACCATCTTTTCCTGTCATCCGAACCACTAGGATGCTCTTTTCTCCTTTTGATTTACAAAACAGCAAATAGTGCAACTATCCGTACCACAACCTTATTGTTTTTTACTCCAGCCAACGGCTTTAGACATCCTATCTAAAGATGTTCCCTGGAACTAGTCATCCTGTTTCATAGCGAAAGAGCTGGAAGACAGCAAACTTAAATGACTTTGTCAAAACCAAAGGTTGAAGAATGATTACTCGGTTGGTCAGTCTTGAGGTTGTGATAATCTCCATTCGATTGATTAATTAGTTCACTGGAATTTTAATGGACTGATGCTTATAATAAGAATCAAAACCTTGGCAACAACAAGCGAACTACATGCAAGCCACTAACCTCAAAATCCCATCATATTAGCATCCTCCATTTAGGAATATGAAATTAATGCAATAAAATCTCACAGAATCCTTACTTCAGAAGTCTATACGCAGACTCCTTTGTATCATTAGAAATAACGCAAGTCAGTCTTGCATCAAGGAGTAGAACTTAAAGTTGGAAATAAGCTAGGCTGTGCCTTGAATTTTAGAGTCTCCGCTGCGCACAGTTGCGTCGACTACCAAAAGCTGGTCACATGGGGATGCTAGAGGATCCAAATCGGGTTAACGAATTCATCGAAGAGCATATAACCAACCCTCCACATCCCTTCGGTCTTTCCAAACGGAACCAGTCTTGTACACCTGACAGTGTTCCGAAAACACCAATCACCACTCAGCCAAACTATGATATATGCCTTGATGATATCATGAGTACCATTGAGTATTCGAGGAAGAAAAGTGGCAGTTACGGAGTGGATACAGGTGCTGAATCACCTGGCATTATCAGTGTACTTAGGCCTCGAATCCACTCAAAGCGATGGCGTGGCTTCAGACAAAATATATCCAGGTGAAAATGCACTTGGGTCCCGCTTTTTTATTAATACCATTATGACTACAGTGAAAAACCCTTATTTTGACCTTAACAAGGTGGTTTTTCCAGCACTGACAATCCAGTGATTATATTTGAAATATCATTCTTTCTGAACGAAAGGGTCTTACATACATTAAAAAATTATGTAATGTTTAAGTGTTAACTGATACGTTGAATGTACTGTGGGATCAAAGACTGCGCAATAATCTTTACGAAACTAGAAGCAAGGCGGGGAAGCGCTTTCGATGCGCACACTGCGTCAGGGTAGTCGAGGACCGGATGACAGATGCTATTACCGATCCGATTTCAGGACGTAATCTCACGTAGCGGGGACACAAACTTACTGAACACTCTTAAAAAACTTATTTTCCTGTAGAGAATAACTGATTATGCCTCCGAGTCTACCGCCATTAAACAATCCATTTTCATCAGCTATTTCAACGGTTGAAATTAGGTCCGGCCTAGTTAGTTAAGTAATCGAGTACAAGCTGTTCTGTTAAACATTTACTGTGTGAACTTAAGGTGATAGACATTTTAAGGCATGAAGTACATAGCATGTCTTATTTTAAGTTGTATTTCCAGGACAAAATCCATCTGCTATTTTTATGCGCTAAAACACGCAGTATGTCAGTTATGGTGTAAGTGATCTTATTATTGCTTTTTAGAACAGCCAAATCAATAGAAGTCAAAGCCATCAAACAGGATTTGATAATAATCTTTAAAATAACTGCTACTGATGTGAAAGGACATATTTCGGCACAATTTTTAATGCCATATGTAATCGATTCGACGATGCCTGCCAAAAATTAAAATATTGCAATAAAGAGTAATAACTCTCATGTATGTCATGCAAAACAACAGTCTTAAATTATTACTTCCGTTACATCACATTCACATTTCTCAAGGTTAATGTAGGCGCATTACATGGCGTCCACGAGGCTCGCTTTACTAAGGCACAAGGTGACACCAACTTTTCGTCGGAATCCTCGGGTGTTTCCCCCTGCAAAAAGCAAGTTTCTATTGCTTACTTTCTCATTCTGGCGTAGGTAAACTACTGAGAGTTAGAGAGCCTCGGGTTAGTGATCCCGTCGAGACTGAACTTTTGAGCAAGTGGTGGTCTGATTATAAGCTCCAAATGGCTGCAGTCGTGTAATAGTCTTTTTTGGCTTTATTTTGCAGAGATGCTTTGCGTTACTGCTTTGAGGTCAGGGAGACTGGCGCTTCGGAGTCATGTCGTGTGTGTGAAAAGGCTTTTGATGAGGATCTAATTACTATTAACGAAAAATGGAACAGTGATACTAAGTTGGGGCGCGAGTATTACTACGTTGAACATTTCAATAGGAAAATTGCTGAACTTCTGCAAAAACGTGAGGAATATGATAAGAAGGAGGCTCAACGCATGGAAATACTGAAAGCAAAACTATTGTCCGTTGAAGTTGGTGTTTCCATCTCTTCTTGCAGTCTTGATAAACCGTTTGTTCCATTGCTGAGCTCGTTGGTTATCTATTTTAGGGTTGTGACAAACAAATGGTAACACGTGAAAACATTGATGAACGTCTTGATGAAATCATGTCCTCGCCTCCTGTTCAGTTCAACTACTCTGTTTCCGAACGCGGGAAGACCATCCACCCAGAAAGTCTCGGTGACCTCCCCTCGTAATGTACATACGTGGAGTAGTTTGTACTGTTATGTCCACATGTCTTCTAAAAAAGTATTCTCTTCATCGCATACCTTCAGCACAGCTGCTTCTGTGGTTTATTGTTTTAGAAATACTTTATCAATAATGACCACTTCATGCTTAGGGGGATCTCGTTCTTCGATAAGAATGCGAATTAATCTGGAACCAGTATCGATCATCGGCTATTCGTTTGCTAGTTGTTTTTTTACTTTGTTTGGGTGATCTTTTTCAGTAACTTCTACTCGTTTTAAGCCAAGAAACTTGTAGTTATTTTTCATTTGTAACGAATAGTTTACTGTCCCCGTCGTTTTCGCTAGGTGTCCTTAGAGAGGGAGAACTTCGTTATTGAATTATATTGTAATCGCGCAGTTTGTAGGCCGTCCAAGACTTAATGCGTCATTAAATTGTGAATCTTCGGTCGGATAAACGAGGAACAATGACAGGTTCTCGGTGCAGTCCGTGGATTCAATTTCCTCCGGGACGTCATTAGTTTGTTCTAGTTATTCGCCTGATAAGTTCTTTGATGTACTAATTACCGTGAAGGTACGTCCATCCATTGCCTAGTTTCCTGGACTTTGACGCCGAATTGCATGGAAAGACGGGATACGCGAACCGCCAATGACCTGAAGACATGGCAAATGGAATTTTTGATGTTTCATTCCCTAATTCGAGTCGAAATTGCACTTAGGCTGTTGCATAACGCTAGGTCCTCCTGGTCTGATTTCAATCAGACGGTTAGGCTATTCGCTCCCTTAATTTTGTCTCAGCCTCGAGACAGTATTATCGGTGAATGTTAATAAAAGAGGGCTTGCGTGAATTTCACCTCAATGATCAAATGATTTTTTATGGAAAACGTAGGAACTAATTCAATTTCACCGGTAGCATGACTTGCAGCAAATGATCATTGTGCTCAGGTGGTCGCTGTTTATTTATTGTCATTACTTAGAAGGCGCCGTGATAGCAGGCAATGTAGCTCCTGTTGCTCGTTATGAACCTGATTCCAAGTACTGTACTATTTTATGACCGAATGGAATGGTTCAGGGAGCAAGGGACCTGCTTTTTTTTGTCTGTGAGTCATGGCACACTGGAGCTCTCAATAATAGGTCGGAAGTGAGCCTTTTCGTCGCCTCTAATTGAACTCGAAAACTTTACACCGACTCGGGTTGTAAAACACACTGCGATGCCTTTACCGTAAATAGTAATTATGAATGTATGTGCAAATGATCAAAAGGTGGGCAGGAGTGAGAGAGAAGGTGCAATCGAAACATCTCGAAATGTGGGAAGGGCGCTTGTCAGGTGGAGAATTGGAATTCACTAGTCCATTTTTTTGACTGCGTGATGGAGTGGGGCCAGGAGGAAGGGCTGGAGAGGAAAGTCACGACATCGACAATGAAATTGACAAAATCAATTAGGTGGGTGAGAGAGAGCGCATGCTATTGTAGGGCCCTCAAGAGGAGGGACTGAAGGGGGCGGTAGCAGTAGTTTTCCCATTTGATGAAGAGGGAACTGCTGCGGACTTTGAGCAGCAGAGGTCCCTGCATTCCAAAATCGAAGGCCAGGGAGGTGCCCAGGACTATAACAATGAGGGTGATGCCACCAGTAATGAGGACGTATCGCCAGAGCGGGGAAATAGTCCTACAGCTACTGCCATCGCTGCTTTGTGTCTTTTCGTCCACTTCTTTACAGCACATTTTACGATCCTTATAGAAAGAATCGGAAGTACTGTAATCTGCGGTTCTCTTCTACAAAATGAAACAACGGCGACCATTGCTCGACTCAGGTGGTTGGCAATTAGTTAAATGATGTGACTATTTCTTTGAAGTCATCTCGCGATGTGGGTAATGGAGATGCGACCAAAGGTGTATTCATGCGTGCCTACTTTTACACTTCCTACAAGGGCAAGTAGTCTTGCATTTGACAAGAGCTACCACTCCAAAGTTTCATTCGTATTTATGATTTGTTCTATCAGTATGATTCAGAAGTGAGACTACTAAAAATTTGAAATATCGCACTGTGTAAAACGCCTTGTTAGTTCCACACCACTTTTCACTCAACATTTGGAAAGTGTCCGAATGCAATGATTTGCAGTATTTTTTCGCAGGAAAGAAATATTAAGATATTTTGCACTCCTGTCTGATCGATGCCCCGAGAAATGCGAATACTCCACAAATCCAACTATTTCTATTTGTGCGAGATTATTTTCTAATTCAGCAACAGGCATTTTAAGTCCAGAACGAAAAAAGCATTTGTCCTGCTTCTGTAATCCCCAAGGGTACTACTGGTAGGATAGTTTTGTCATGCGAATTCTAAGACATGAAACGTCCTACCCGCTCCGTGTGATGGTTAAGGCGGTAGCATGAGTTTTAAATAGTGCTTAAAAAGAATATTTCATCAAAATTAGTTATTTAAGGCTAGAGACGTGAACATAAGTACAGAAATACAATTTACCTAACCCCTTTTTTATTACAGTGCTCAGATTACTCAACGATTCGAACTTCAGGGTACATCAACGAAATGAGCTGTCAAACAGAATTCTTATATTATGAAGCGGATTACATTTGAACACTGCCAGGAGAGCAGATAAAAACCGCATAATCTTGGGAGTGGAACCAATTCTGCTGTAATGACTTTGTTGGTGACTATTCTCAATTATGCACACTCTCCCCGTCATAACTTCTTGCGTAAACACAGTTACGTCCACGATCCCAAACAGTCGACATCTGTGCCTCTAAACCTCGTTATACTCGAAGCAGCCGTAACTAGACGACTTATCCACGACTTGGAAAACAGTTTTGACATTTAATGCTGAATCATCTCATGTATAAATTGCATCAAAGTAGGATACGCTGGCATCTGAGATGTGATTCAAACGTGCAAATGGGCCGATTATCCAGCACATATAACTCTGCTGCTCAGTCTAACTACCGGAGCCAGTCTGAGAGATTACCCACCCCACCAAACATAGCCAATAGAACCAAACTACCTCACTTTAGATAAACACAATCACGAGATTCAGTCATTGACCAAGTCTCAATATGCGGTGAAGGACAGTTAGGTCAGCTCAGAGTAATGAAAAACGACCCTCATGAGTTCATCCTCTTCCCCTCTAGTGGTTCAATTTTCTGGATTTGGTACAGTAAAAATGAAACATCCAAACGTCACTCAACGTAGATTCGAGTGGTTGAATCAGGCACGCCTCACTGAGATAAAAAAGATATGAATGGCCGTAATGAAAAACAGGAGGAGGCAATACTAATTTTGCGTCTAATGAGATAATATATTTAGTAATTAAAAAAACAAAGCAGTTTACTGTCCAAGGTTGCTTTCCATTAAATTACACGCTTTCCGAAATGTTCCAAGAATTAAAGCATTGGAAACTGAATTTCGAAGAGAACTGGGAATTGTACATGCTAAAAGGGTCCGCCCATCTTAAAATTCGGAAACGTGAAAAAGCAAATCGCAAAAAAAAAACGTTTGATAAAGGAAGAGTGCAATCATGCAAATTTTTACAAGTAAAAGTTCAAGGCACTTAGCCGCATTAAAATCAGATTATCACTTCCAACATCAAATTTTGGAGTGAAAAAAAGAACAGAAAATAGATGCAGGAATGTGCCAAAAAATGTGTGAACTAGTAAAAGTGCATACACTAGAAAAACAAGCTCAACTGCGAAGCACTATCAGTAAAAAAAAAGGATTGAGACTAATGTTGATTTCGTCGAGTGATGGGAGTAGAAGATACTTCAATGGAATTATAAGAGTGTATCTTGAGGTTCTGCGATAAGCAGAATCATGGTTAGTCAAGGAGGCGAAATCCATAGGGGCTCGGAATGCGTAGGCAGAAAGGACGAACGAATTCAAATCATTCTTTCTCTAAGGTACGCATCGACCAGAAATAAAATGTAAACCACTTTAAAAACAGACTGAGTTGGACAAGTGAATAGAATGTGATATAGCAAAATCAGATTGTTCGGTTTTCCGCGCCTATCAGAAGATGGTAAATTACTTAGGAAAAGGGGATGAAAGCCTCCCACGCGATTAATTCCTAGCTCGCTCCCATTACAGTTTCACGTCAGACTCGGGTGTTCAGGCTCTCCCCAGGCAGTTGATCAGACATCCCAAATGCTTAACTTACGTTACTCTGGAAGTGGAGCAATGGACACCCCAGAGACGCACGTCTACATGCTGCGAAGTTGTGCCGTCCAAACTCAACCGTTAGAAGACACAGTCTCAGATATGACGCCAGCTCTAAGCAAGAGCAAAATCTGCTTCAAAGCTTCTTCCCTAATGTGATGTGGTGTGGGGTATGACCAATCCCTGATGTGCTCAGAGCAATCACCATAACGAATTTGAAGTGGGCCGATGCCAAGGGCAGAGTTACAGGGACTGGAGTGGAGTCGATGGCACTAGTCCATGTCAAGCGCAATTCCAACAACAAGTCCAAATCCCTTCCTTTTATCCATCCCTTAAGTCCACTCACTCACTCACTCACCACAATGACGACCTGTCATGATGATAATAATAATAATAATAATGATGGTGGTGGTGGTGGTGAAAGGGAAGAGGAAGTTCACTCGACTCGAATAGAGAGACTCGTAGCACTGACTAGACCATCCACACTTCTGCTGTCGATTCGTGTCTAAACGCATTCTTAAACGCTACCAGCATTGTTTGCAGACTGCATGTGCCCTTGTTCCAACACCCACTTGCAATAAACTTCAAGTGGGTTCAGCATTCCCCGTGACTACTTCTTTACTTGACCAAGTATGAGAAAATATCTCTCTTATTGCATTCTTCACTTTTAGTGGAAGATGTCACTCGGAGCTGATGAACCCGAAGCCATCCAGTGCAACTCTGTCCAACTGTCACAGGTAGTGCTGTCTCTCCTGTCCGCCCTCCCTCCCTCCCTCACTCTCACCTTCAATCCGCTTAGACAGACTACGTCGTAACCAGGTCACATCCCCTTTCCGTTGTGCCCCCTTTGGTTGCATGCAGACACGCACAGGGGGAGGGTTTCTCTCCAATCCATTGACTCTTTTGCATGGTGTGCAGACATCCTTACAGACGAACTGTCCAATTGTGAAGGTGCCCAGAACAGCAGTCCAATCTTGACACCTTGAATGAATGCCACTGCGTTTACATGCTTCCATCGCTTTGGCGACACTTTAACGTATGTACGCGAGCACACAAACATTACTTGGAAGTTAGGCTAGTGTGATTTGCAAGATACGAGCACGAAACAGGTGATGCGGTTCCTGTGTTGACGCCTGGTCTGGAAGTGGTGCCTCGCCTATCGTAATCTGGATAAGTCGACGTTCGTGGTCATGCGTTTGCATTTCAGCCAAGCATTACGACGGTGCGTTGCGATTAACCGCAGTAAAGAAACACGCGGTGACTTCATCAGGCCATCTCAATCATCATCACCAGCTACATTGAGTTCATCCCCCGGGCTATTACCAAAACAACGCCTTTCCAACCAAACACATGCGCTGATGTAGCAACATAACTACTTGTTTTTGTCCAGTTCAAATCCTCCTTCTTCCCACAAATGACGTGTCGCATTTCAGATGTTTGACAATTGTGCTCTGGTCACTCGCTGGTGTCTTGTTTGGGAAGGACACTGATTCCTCTGCTTTGACCTAACCGGCACATAATTGCACAGCGCAGAGGAGCACTTTCACCTCTCACGCGTCGATGATCAATTATGCAGGGTTGTGTGCTGTTCATTCCCCTCCTGGTCCACTTTCACTTCTCTTCCCCAACCCTTCGCTCCACCGTCTTCCAAATCATGTCCATGCCATTTCCCTGAACCCTGTTGTGACAGTTCAGTAATGACGCGTTCTCCGCAGCAGTAGCTGCTGAATTTGGATAAGTTCTCTATCGTTGAGCAAAGTGGTGTGGTGTATTGAAGGCTTTATCCTCCTCACTCTTCAAATGCAGCTGTTCTAACTTTCACGATTTATTCAAATGGTGCATACCGCCACGTGGAGCATTCTTTCTGCGCTCCGAGCTCATCGACTTCCAACTCTTCTGTGTCACTGGAAGTGTGACTCAATTGCCACACCCACAAGAACACTGCAGATTAGTTCATGTTGAACCACAGTTATCGCCTCTCCTTCGCATGACATGTAGCCGAGTGCATTACCATCGGCACACATCTTCCACGCTCCTCACTCTGCCTTCCTGACCAGTAGCGGTGGGTGCGACCTTTCTTTCATCGTTTCGATATACAAATCGAGACTGTGGGGGTAGGTTTGGTAAACCTTTTCGATACATTGGTATCAAGACATGTGTTGGAAGGCTTGCAAATGCTCGTTAATGCGCACCAGCTTGAACGCGGCAAACGTTGGTACCGTGCCAAGGGTTGGCCTATTCGCACACTTTTGTAATTCACTGCAATAGCTTTTGAAGCATCATTTTTGTTGTTTCGTCTATGGAGACACCTGTGATATCGCCTTCTTCTTTAAGGCCTTTCCTTCTGTATGCAAGTGTTACTTCTCCGAAAATGTGTTACATGCACACAGC